TGACTCTATTTCTGTTTTGTAAATAAGTTCACTTGTACATATTTTTTAGATCCCACATATAAGCGGTGTATGATATTTTTCTTTCTCTGTCTGACTTCCTTGCTCAGTATGACAATCTCTAGGTCTGCCCATGTTGCTGCACGTGGCATTATTTCATTCTTTTTTATGGCTGAGTAACAGTCCATTGTATATAGGTACCACACCTTTAACCATTCCTCTGTCAATGGACATTTAGGTTGCTTCCATGTCCTAGCTATTGTAAATATATTCATTGTATTTTATTTATTATCTGCTCCACTCTGTACTGCCATACTATGTACTTTAATAATATAAATGTGAACTGAAACTCTGTATTGTTCACCCCTGTCTCCCCAGTGATTTGAACAGTATCTGGTGCATAAAAGACTCTCAGATATTTCCTGAGCGAATGAATAAGTGGATGGATCAATGAGTGAATATGTGAATGAATTATTCCAGCAGAAGTGCTAAAATTGCGCCCCATTGAGTTAGGTGCCCACCCCTGGTGTCAGAGAGAGGCGTCTGCCTCTCCTGGATCAGGTGGATTAAGAGTGAAGTCTGGGTAATGTTTAAAGAAATTTTAAAGAAAATCTGGTTGCTGTTACTTAAAGAGCAGAGTTTGCTGGGGAAGGAAGGAATGGATGTCTACTGTTTTATCCCCCTTCCCTCTTTCTGTCACCAATGCCAATATGTTAATACCTGGGAATAGGTTGCTCTGTATCTTTTCTCTTACTCCCTTCTCTCAAAATGTTGTTACTTCTTCTTTTGAAATAGATCTCTCTTATTTTCTTACTTTCCCTTACCACCATGTGGCATCCACTCTTAACTGTTTGTTGCTAATCTTTCTGCCCCCACGATGATCTCCCACCACCTAGGATCTCCTGAATATGGCTCTCATTCTGTCATCTTAAAAAAAGAAATGCATGCTAGGTTCTTTCGTCCATAATCAGACAGAACTTGTTAAAACATTCATGATGTTCCAATATAAACACTTCCAATCAGACTTATGTCCTTATTACTTATTCCTGAATATATCTTAGTTCATGTTTTCAGAGTCCACAATTATAGTTCTAAAGTAGATTTTCCAGATAAGCTAGTCAAATCCTTTTGGGGGGACAGACACAGGGAGAAGGAATGAAAAGAACTTTATTACCGTCCTGCCCCTAGGTTTTCAAAGTTTGCCAGAAGAACTAGAGAAGGAAAAGTATCTAGCCCTAGATCTGAGCTCCTTCTTTATGCCAGCCTTTTCCTGTTCTCTCCTGTGTCCTACTCCCTTTCTACCTCCTGAACACCATTCTGCCCTCCGACCCAGCTGAGGTCTATCTCTTTCTGTAGTTTTCCTGATTACATAGTTTCCATAGGATTCCAAGTACTATGGAAATTACTAGCTATGCCATGCACTTCTGTACTTCCTTTTGATGCTGCCTTTTGCAGTAAGGCCTGTGACATCATGATTTATAAAAAGAAATATTTTTTTTCTGTCTTGATCCATGTTTTCTGTCACACAGCTTCTAAAACCCTTGGGACTTCCTAAGTGATAAGTGCAATAAAGCTGAAATGGGTGTCTTTTGTTATGAATAACAAGTTCCTTTTAACCACACCTGAGTTCATGTCAATGAGGTGATTTTTGGAAAGCCCCTAGGTAACTGTGAGATGGGGCTGGTTAGCAGGGGAACCAACTGTGTGATTAGAGAGTTGGAATTTGCAGCCTCATCCTGACCTCTGGGAAGGAGAGAGGGGCAGGAGATTGAGTTCCGTCACCAGTGGCCAATGATTTAATCCTCATGCCTGCATACTGCAGCCACCATACAAACCCAGAAGTTCAGGAGTTCAGAAAGCTTGGTAAGTGTAGGTGCCGGGAGGGTGGTACGTGTGGAAAGGGCTCGGCACCCCTTCGCAGCCACCTTGCTCTATGCACCCCTTCCAACTGGCTGTTCCTGAGTTACAGCCTTCATAATAAACCAGTAATCTAGTATATAAACTGTTCTGAGTCCTGTGAGCTCTGCAGCAAGTGATTGAACCTAAGGAGGTGGTCGTGGAACCTCTGTCGTATGGTCTGTCAGAAGCATAGGTGACAAACTGGACTTGAGATTGGCATCTGAAGTGGGGGTCATCTTGTGGGACTGGGCCCTTAACCTGTGGGATCTGAATCTATCTCCAGGTAGATAGTATTAGAATTAAGTTAAATTATGGGACGCCAGCTGGTGTCCAGAAAGGATTGTGTGACGTGTGGGAAAACCCCTACATCGGGTGTCAAATAAAGCACTGGGAGTAGAGGAGAAACGCAGAGGAGTATTTTTCTTCTTTCAGGCCTCATAAGGCTACAAATGTCTCAGAAGCAGGGTTCCAAGAAAGTTACTTGCTGTCTTTGTTGTTAATATTCATATACCACCTAGCACCATGTTAAGCATATAGTTGATCCTTAAGTTAAAATTGTTTGGTGGCTTTTGTTGAATATTATTTAAGATAATATTTAGGGCTTCCCTGGTGACACAGTGGTTAAGAATCCATCTGCCAATGCAGAGGACACAGGTTCGAGCCCTGGTCCGGGAGGATCCCACGTGCCATGGAGCAGGTAAGCTGTGCGCCACAATTACTGAGCCTGCGCTCTAGAGCCCGCGAGCCACAACTACTGAGCCCGCATGCCACAACTACTGAAGCCTGCGCGCCTAGAGCCCGTGCTCCACAACAAGAGAAGCCACCCCAGTGAGAAGCCTGCGCACTGCAACAGAGTAGCCCCCGCTCACTGCAACTAGAGAAAGCCCGCGCAGCAATGAAGACCCAACGCAGCCAAAAATAAATAAATTAAATAAATAATATTTTTATAAAAACATAATATTTAGATTAACCTGTCTGCCATCAAGGATTTAATTCAGGTGATTTTATTCAGGGATTCTCATTGGTATTGCTTTTGAAGACAGAACAACCAATAGTGATATTAAAATTCAGCCACGGTTTAATAAAATAGTTAGATTTGTGGCTTCTTTGTAAAACTAAAAGCTGGTTAGAAAAATACCTAAAAAGAAGAAAAACTTTTTACTATTTCCCTTAATCAGATGTTGTCAACAAGATGCAAAGAAGATGTCTATTTAAGTGATGAAATTTAGGACCTGAAGCTCAAATGGTTTTGTCCAATGAAGGATTGAAGTGGGTGTGGCTATTTTGAAAAGGCAGTGATAGTATGTAGCTTGAGGAAGACCAAGGAGAGCACAACAAAAATCATTACTAAAGAGGATCCCAGTTTCCAAAGCATGAAATTGTACACGTTATAGACTATGACCCACGATGCAGATTGTTGGAACCATCTTATGTTCTATAAAATAGTTAAAATCTTGAGGAAAGATTTCAGTATGCTCCCTGTATTACTAGGTCTTACACTATACATTTTGTGTTTTGCTTTTTTTTTTTTTGCGGTACACGGGCCTCTCGCTGTTGTGGCCTCTCCCGCTGCGGAGCACAGGCTCTGGACGCACAGGCTCAGCGGCCATGGCTCACGGGCCCAGCTGCTCCGCGGCACGTGGGATCCTCCCAGACCGGGGCACGAACCCGTGTCTCCTGCATCGGCAGGCGGACTCTCAACCACTGCGCCACCAGGGAAGCCCTACATTTTGTATTTTGGAGGCCAGGAGTATGACTGGAGAATGAGCGCTGGGTAACCAACTTTATACCACAAATGTACCTTTGTGATATTTGTGTGCAATTGAACCAGAGCCTTCCGTTTCAAAGCTGCTGTGTACTTTTTTATTAAAAGCATCTCTTTACTTGCCTCTTATTAATTTTATAACTCTTAAAAGTTGTTATAAAAGAGATATTTCAAAAAGATGAAACTCCTGATTTTAAATAGAAGCAAATTCAAAACCTTAGGTCAAGAATATAACAGATTAGCAATGTAATATAGTGTTTATGTTGTATCTTTTCGTGACTAAAAAAGTTCAGTGTTCTTTTTAAAACTTTTATTTCAATGTTTAGGAGATTATTTAAATAAATATAAAAGATCTCATGTAGAATATAGCTTTCCAAAAACTAAAGTTATCTAAGGTAGGGACAGCTAGAATGTATATATGAAATTAAGTGGTTCATGTTTAAAACAGTAAACACATATATTTCTCATTTATTTGACATATTCTAAAATATCATGGTCTCTTGATTTAAATCGTCCTTGCTTTAAATTATAATTTTATACTGACATTTTTCCTATTATTAAATTCTTATTATTAGATTCTTTTTGAGAGTGGCATCTATGGCTTTCCCTATCCCTGTGCCCCCTGTATTATCTTGCTTTATACTTATTATACAGTAAATGTTTTATAAATGTTTGCTGATGAATGATAGCCATGCCCAAAGAAAATCCATTTGTTCTCTGCTGAAAAAATATAGACGATAGGAACTTTCAACATAAAAAAAGATTCATGGCAAATGATTCTTGACAGAATCTTCTATAAATAAGAAAAATGAAATAAACATGTTTCTGATCCACTCACGTATATTTATGCTAATAAAAGGTAGAAGTCCCACGCCTCTGCACAAGCCTCTGCTCTTTTTACCGAGCTTATGTTGAAAAAATTTTCAAATTTGTAATGATGGTATGGGAAGGTAACATAGAGGAGATTTTTAAAAAGCAAGAAATACAGTTGGATTCTGTGAAAAATTGCTTATTGTATAGCTTAAATGTGAAATAATAGAACTCGTAATTTAAATGTTTACTGGATACTACAGTGCGTGCCACAGTGTTTCATTCTTTTAATATATGTGTGCATTTCCACATATGAAAGGACCCATGGAAACTTTGGCCTAGTTCCCATTTAAAATTGGATGTGTTTTCAAATAAAGAACATAGAGAAGCTTTTTTCAAATTGTTTATGGTTTAGAGAATATGAAATCCCTCCATTGGATAAAAATACTTAAGTTTATTGCAGCACATAGAGAACATGGTTGTTTCTAAAGTATTTTCCCCTAATGTTCGAATCCCGTTTATTTTTCAGGCATTTCCTGGGAACGTCAACTCCGATAGTGTGGTTCGGCATGATTTACAGCATCCAGTAATCGCCCGCTATGTGCGCATCGTGCCTCTGGATTGGAACGGAGAAGGCCGCATTGGGCTCAGAATTGAGGTCTACGGCTGTTCTTACTGTGAGTACCATTCTGTCGAAATTTGTGGTAGATTTTGTCATCTTCATTTAATTAGTAATTTTGTTATTTTGAATTATTTAATATTAGTTGCTTTCTCTGACAGTAAATTGCAATGTTTCTTTATATAAATAATATATAAGGTTGTTTGTATGTTATAAATATATATTTACATTTTTACACAAACACACATATAAGAATATCTTAAGGACACCTTAAGTAGAGGACTTGGGAAATGATTTCTGTTCAGTAGACTAAAACAGCAAAGCTTATTCATAAAGTTGCTTGAAGTCTTATGAAATATTTAAAAAAGAGAAACTTATACTCTTATTCATCTTTTTGACTCTGTGATGGATTTGAAAACAGTCTTAAGAACTTCCTTCTGGTTCTCTTTAATTATATATACCTTTTGTTATTTTAAAGACAACCACTGAGCTTTAAGGTCAATTATATTTTATATGTCTAAAAGTTTTATTAGTTCCTTTTAAAAACTTACTCAGGGGGCTTCCCTGGTGGCGCAGTGGTTGAGAGTCCGCCTGCCATTGAAGGGACACGGGTTTGTGCCCTGGTCCAGGAAGATCCCACATGCCGTGGAGCGGCTGAGCCCGTGAGCCATGGCCGCTGAGCCTGCGCGTCCGGAGCCTGTGCTCCACAACGGGAGAGGCCACAGCAGTTTTTTTGCGTATCGCCAAAAAACAAAAACAAAAAAAACTTACTCAGTCACCTAAAAAGTTTCTTTTCCTTTCATCGTGTTTTTGATTACCCTTTTGTATTTTTTAAATACATTATATCTGTGTCTAATGATTCCAATAGATGGAGTTTTAGGGATTGTCATTCTGCTGTCTGTTGTTTCAGCCGGTTTTGCTAGTGGTGCTTTCTCCTCCTCTCCCTCCTCCTCTTAATTCTTTCCTTTCTTCCTTCTTCTTAGCATTCTTATCTGCCTATCCTTCTTGTCCTTAACTTTATGCCCATCCATCTTCTTGAACTGTGACCTCAGTTTCTTCAAAACTTTATCTGTGGAACTTCTTTTAGGTGAAAGTTGATGGTGGCTTCTTCTGGAGAAGATGGATCTTATTTGCTTCTATGAAGGCAGTACTTACACAGAATTACTTTAAAGATTATTTGAGGCTTTTTGAGACCACTAGGTACTACACATTCAGTCTGCAAACACATGGTTTGCAAACACTGGCTTTATTTGATGCGGCTGCGCCTCACGTCTTGCGGGATCTTAATTCCCCAACCGGGGATTGAACATGTGCCCTTAGCAATGAAAGCACTGAGTTCTAACCACTGGACCGCCAGGGAATTCCCCCAGACACTAGCTTTAGAATATGAAGTGTCTGGTAAAATAGTCATCTCCTCCCGGGAAGTTTTTCTTCCTGTTCTAATTGCTGGGGGAGGAGGGATGCTGGATACAGATAGGGCAGGGAATCAGGAGATCAGCTTCACGCAAGGAGTTTCCTATTAGACTCTCCCCTATCCCTTCCTGTAGACCCATAGCAACAAAAGCTTAACTGTAATCAGAAAATGCAAATGTCCTATTGAGCAAGCTTTTAAAAATTAACCAAACATTTGGTAGTTTATAATAAAACGTATATAAAGCTTTCAGCTTTGTATGAATTTAGTACCTGTAATGATGACCAAATCGTATTTATTCATGGGCAATACTGCTATGTGAAAACTGGGCTGGTTACTAAAAAAGGGCCAAAGAGATCATTTAATAAATTCCATAGGTGTTTCTTTTATTTGGTCATCACTTTATAGTAGCAAATATAATGAGTAGAGAGACAGATTTAGTTCTTCAGGAGAATGTAGATATTCAGGAAGAAGATTTAACTTTTCAAAAGCCTAAAATGACCCTCAACATAAACTGGGAGCCTTTCTACTATGTGATCTGGGTATTCATGGGAACAGAATTCTGTGTTCATACACATTCTAGCTTTCAGCATCATGATGGGAAGGCCAAAACAAAATGTTTTTGTCTGCATGACATATTTTCTAAGGAGCATGTTCAGTGTTCAGTAAATGAAAAATAAGTAATATTCTCCATGGAAACATGATGTATGTAATTTATTTTATTAATTATTTATTGAGCAATTTCCATGGGTCATGAAATATGCTAAATGTTAATCATATCACAGTAAATAAGAAAAACATGGTAAGAGAAAGTGGAGCAATTACTCCAGTAGTAGTATTTATTAGGATACAAATAATGAGGGTTAAAAATTTCCCAAAGGCACACAGCCTAAGTGACAGAGCTGAAAGGGAAACCGGACATCCTGGTGGTACAACAAGACCTCACCACCACTACTGTTTTCCTGCTCCTAAATTCTAACAAAGTGAACCCCATGTGACCTTCATCGGGTTAAGTCAATTATATTGACACCTCAGAAGCACCCAACAAGCCCCCTCCCAGTTACTACTACTTCTTAAAGGTAAATATTCACCTGATTTTTATCCCCATAGATTAGGGTAGTTTTTAAAATTTTAAAATCTCATACCAATGAAATAATAAAATATACATTATTTCCCCTCTGACTTCTTTTGTTCAAAATATTTGTGAAATTACCCATGTTGTTATTTGTGGTATTTATTTATTTTCATGAATAATATTATTCTATTGTATGCCTACTCTACAATTATGTATTCATTTCGTGTTGATAAACATTGAGTTGTTTCCAGTTTTTGATGATTTCAATAGAATTGCTATGAACGTTTTTCATAGGTATAGAGCTAGGAAGGGGTAATACCAAATTAGGATATATGTATGTCTAACTTTGTTAATAATGAGAAAAATTTCCTAAAGCGGTTTTATCAATTTAGACTGTCAAAACCAATGTACTAGGATTCCTAGTTGCGCCACAAATTCAGACGTTTAGAAATGAACGTTTGAAAGTTTTAGCCATTCTGGTGTTTGTTCATTATATGCAGTTTAGTGTTAGTGAACATTTTCCTGATTTTTGAGGAGGTTATGCTTACTGTAATTTGTATACCCTCTTTTTTGAAGGGTTTGTTCAAGAACTGTGCCCATACTTCTGTTGAATTGTCTTCTATTTATCTGTTTTTCTAACTGAGTAGTTTTTTTTGTTGTTTTTTGTTTTTTGTTTTTTTTTTTTTCTAACTGAGTAGTTTTTAAAGCCAACCCTGTCTTTTTTTATTGTTATTATTGTTACTGCTATCACGAGATTTTCCATCAAGCCTGGGCCTTGGCAATCACAAGACATGAAGGAAAAATGCTTGAAGCTAGATAGGATGCTAGACTTTTCTAGCTTACAAACCTCTCTGGGGGGAAAATAATCCTACACTTTGGGAAACTGGATTAACCTTTATACCAATAGATGCCAGTGGAGTAAATGATAAATTGGCAACATAAAGTAAGATAAAACTTTATACAAAGATGTCAGTGTTCTAGATCTGCTCCAGCCACTAGCCACATGTGGTTACTGAGCACTTGAAATGTAGCTAAGAACTGAGAACTAAGCTGTGTTTAATTTTCATTCATTTGAATTTGAGTTTTAAGTAGCGTAACTACTGGCTCCCATATTGGATGGTACAGATTATAAGAACCAAAACATCTTCTTATTTTTCTCCTGTGTCCTTTTTTTAACATTTATTTTTTAAATGGCAATCTCTAATTTTTTTTTCTGAGTTTGGAAAACGATAATTTAATCATCATGGAAGCTGTCTGTGCTGTCAAAAATTTATGACTGGTCATTCCTCTAACCAGGTCATTTTCCTAACCAATGTCCAGATCCCATTATTTTTCATATATCTATATATGAAGAATGCAAAATATATTTATGTCTTTTACAAGAAAAATATACATGTTTATAATAAGAAAAATATGTGTTAAACATATTTGTTATGGACAACTTTTCCAAAATTAATCGATGATTTAAACTTACCTATACTGGAATTCAGACTAGAGTGGCCTCGTAGAAGGTGGCCTTCTATTTCCTTTCTTTTTTTTTTTTTTTTTACCATTTAGTGAGCTACTGCCTCAAGGGCTTTGTTTGAGTTTGCAGTGGGAAGGGAATCATGGATCTTTGAGAGGGGAAGTGTCCCTCAGATACACTCCCATTTTGCCCCCTTAATAACAGCAATCCTGTGTATTCCAGAGTCCGGCAAGGAGATACACGGCGTTGATCACTCCTAGGGAAAAGAAATGAATTCTCTCAACTTTTTAGAAACCCTTTAGGGGGTTTATCTGAGATCTGTCTTATACCTGCAGGTTAAGGAATGGGTTTGTACTTTAAAGTTTGCCAGAAGAACTAGAGAAGGAAAAGTATCAGTATGAAGCTGCTTCTGTGGGAGCGTGTACCTACTGTAATTCCCCTTGTATTTGTCATCTTTCTTCTCTGCAGTCCTTCCATGGTTACTCCGTCATCTGAGAAGTTAGATACTTCTCAAGGTTGAAAGTAAGAAGTTCACTCTGTTCCAGGTGGAGGGAGAAGTTTACTTCCAGGCCACTGCTTTTAAGCCTTCAGGGCTTCCGCTGTTTTTGTTTCCTGACTCGTCTTGATGATAATATGAATTCCAATTTCAATGAATTTAGACTCATTTTAAATCATTCTGCTCCCTCTACATTTGGTTTTCCCTCAAGTTTAGTTGAAATAAGTGCATGCTGTTATTTTTAAAACTTAATGATATTCCCAATGTCTTCTGACTCTGTAAGCTTTCTCCCAAAACACTGATGCTAATCTTCTTACTCTGTACCAAAGGGACTGCATGAAGCAGAAGGGAGAGGTCTCAGTCTAATAACTTTTAAAAATCATTTATGTCTGAAGCACTCAAACATGCATCTTACAAAATCCCTACATGGTGCATTGATTAAAGGCAGTGAGCATTTTCTGATGACAAATACTAAATTAGCTTTTAACCAGAGTCTTCATAAATGTAAGGTCAGCACCTTGGCAAACCAGGATACACACAAACCATTTTTATATACGCTTTCAATTTGGATGAATAATTAATAAAGCCTATATATATATGTTACCCAGTGC